AACCACGCAGTTGGGTGTTGCAATGGCACATGACCCGTTTAGTCCCCTGTGTTGTCGTCATGTAAAAGTGGATCAAAAGAAGCTTCAAAGGCATTGCATGTAAGTTTCGTTAGGATCCTGGGCAATCCATTGAAATTGCAACACATCTCAGCCACAGCTTCTACATCCACTTCTGAGGTCCAAGGACTGCCATCTATTATGGCTATGGCTTCTTCGGTCTTGTTTCGACTTGGCAAGTCTGCAACATTCGAAGCTGATGGCACTCGTTCTATCCAAGGTATGCAGCGATCAACTTCAGCGCAGCCATGGAAAAGTTGTACTATCTGCAACAAAGCTAACGTCTGGCTTGTAGCCTTGATCAGGCAGTGACGAGCTCCTTCGTTGTCTACAAAAATCAAGACTCTCCGTTGAGATATATAGCTTCTGAAGACAATCCGCGCCAGCAACGCGGCAAAAGCTTCGGCAAGCGTTATCACCTGATCACTCCCCAATGCATGCCATTTCTGCACAAGGAAGTCTGGAACTCGGCCACCCACAGCGGTTCTGGTGTCGGTGACAGGGTCCAGCAAAACCATTCCCCAAGTCGCTACATCATCTTCATACGCAGCGTCTGTGAAAAGGACAACCGGTCTGGGATCACCACTGGGATCTATGACCTTTGGTGCCAAAAACTGCAAAACCCCCGTGGCCCATGTACACAGGTCAGTGATCTGGCCTGGAGCCGGTTTGCAACTGTCCATCGTAAGGGCAGCGAACGCTCTGGCAGCAATTCTCATGGTATGTCCCAAAAAGAAGCTCATCGCGAAGTTCAAGTTTCCGTGGATCACCTGAGCTTGGCGTTTGGAAATCGCATCTGCTTCTTGCACTTCTTTCAGCAAGGCATCTATTCTTTCCAACCTTGACTGCTTGTTTTCTATGCTGAAAGATCTTCCATGCAGTCCTGAAACATCAATCCTGGTTCCAAGCACGTCAAAAGCACAATCGAAGGGAACGACTTTCTTCGGATCATCTGAATATTGCCACCCCAAAGCTTTCAGCAAACCCTCTACCGATTTCGATGCAAGGGAGCACAAGGACTCCGGCTCTACGATAGGGAAGTCATCGAAAAACACGCCTCCCATCATCAAGCATCCTTTCGTAGCAATGTGCCACAAGCTTTTGGAGATGCGGTTGAAACCAAAAACGCTCGCACTTGCCCCAAAGGGCAAGCTTCGGCTCAGGAAATACACAGGCCTCTCTGTCTCGAAATGGTGCACCATCAGCACTGCAAACTTCCTGGACTGGCTGCTGACAGGGATCTGCTTGTATGCCTTTGACAGGTCAATACAACGGCCCTTCCACACGCATGGCTCATGGAAGTCTGAATGCAATGAACCTCGAAGAATTGAACCATCCTTCAACTTCACTTCTACTGTTTTCTCCGAGGATTCCAAAGCATGTTTGATGGTAGTCGTGATGAAATGGCAAAAGGAAGTCACATAATCAATGTCGTGCAAGGTCAAGCGATCTACTGCTGTGAAAGCTCTATTTACACCACTCTCCTTCAAGTCGTCGATTATGCGAGGTTTCCCACTCTGCATTATGGCAAATCTTCTACTACACACTGTGCCTTTGGCCTCCAAGACTTGGTGCACCTCTTCAAGCGACTCGTACGGCCCTTGCAAAAAACCGCGGTCAACTTCCTGCATAGTCGTTTCCCATAGGGTTTTGGACAGCTCAGGATCGTCAGCATGGATGTTCTTTGCTTCGATCTTTTTCCGTTGCCATTTGTTTGACAACACAGCAAACTCTGGCGTGGTGGTAGCTGGCACAATTTTGTCTCCGAAAAAGGGCGATCTTGTTGCCACCCCCACGAGATGTACTCCCTGCATTAAGTCGAAGGCTTCCAGGTCAGGGCACCCGGATTCTTGGAGCAAATGTTTGAACAGGAGCAATCTCTTACCTTTCAGCACTTCTCTGGCGTGCTCTGGCAGTGACAAATGGAACCTTGCCTCTTCGGGAGCTAACTCTTTTGATAAGGTCACTAATTTCCGAGCAAAATTCAATCGTTGGTGGGCTACCCAACTCTTTCCTTTTGTCAACATGGAGAACACATTCACCCTAGTCAAATCTTCTACAGCGAACTTATCATCGAAAGGATGGTTCAACTCAAGGGCCTTGCTGACGAATTGTTTGGGTGTATGGTATACCCCATATGTGGCTTTTTCTCCATCTGCTTCAACTGCATCACCTGCTTCATCCCCGCCTGTGCCCCCCCGATGGACTGGAGGAAGCAGCTTGTATTCTCCCTTCGTCGGAGGTGAGTGCACTAACCTATGGTATTCGGGAATCAAAGCTCGATGCTTGCGAGATTGCTGGCGCGCTCCAGGCTGCGCGACTTGCGGATTGAAGGAAAACGTTGACACCAAGTGGCTCTTGATGAGTGCAACGAATCGCTGACAAAGGAGCAGCAGATACTCGCTTTCACCTGCAGTGTCAAACTTCCACGCACCAAAAGTCTTATTGATAGCATATGGCTTATGTTTGTGATTTCCGGGGCACTCTTTAGCTAAAGGCTGCAAGAAGGGATGAGTTACTCGGAACAGTGTTTGCTTTGGACGTTCACCTCCGTGTGCACAGTTGCTGAAAACAACGTCAAACATGGCATCCCAAGCACGTGTGACAGCCGGGCACTGAGTCTCATTCACAAAATGTTGAAGGACTACCCACATCCAGCTATTCAAGGGGTTCTCAATGCACACGATGGACTCCCATTCTAAACCTTTCTGCAAAAGAAAGACGGCAAACTTGGCTAACATGTTGGCACTGTGCACCTTGAGCTCCTCGTATGGGGTGAGCCAAGGAAAACCAAGCGGGAAATCTTGATTTCGCAAAGGTCTTGGGACCGGTGCCCCTTGATTCACAAGGGATGGAGGTATTGGTTTTTCGCGTGCTCTTGAACCTGTGCCACATGGCAACGCAATATGTATGACAGCGGGATGCAAAACATTCAAAGTCTGGATCAAACACTCCTGCGCATGTTCATCAGTGAGATCTAAAGTCAAAACTGGGCACTCTGGTGTGTGCTCGTTTCTGGGACCATCAACTGGAATAACCTGGAAACCTTGCTGTTTGGCGCAACGGCTTAGCCTTGCACATCCTGCAAAAATTTCGACAAAAACTGCACCCCCTTTGGATGGGGCAACACTGGTTCCATGGAAAACACTGTGAACAGCACGGGGCTGCTCAACTCGAGGCCTCTTCCCTGCGACAGCCTCTGGCGAAAAATTTTGTCTACGATCATTGGCACCTACCTTTCTTGGACTCTCGGCCAAACAACTAGCAGGCTCGGCTGAGCTGTCGCATTTTTGGCAGGCACCTGTGGTTGTCACGAATGATCACAAGTCTGAAAGGGCTTTGGCTTGTTGCATCGCCAACACACATGAAAGCCCCGACGGCATCTCTTCCCTTCCTTTGCGAATGTGCATTTTCCACGATTGAAGAGGTTGCAAATGGGCTTTCCATCCTTTGTCATCTGATTGCAATTTGGAGGCAACTGCAACTGCTGTCCTGCGCCCTTGTCCTTGTTGAAGTCCTTCTTCACACCATGTCCTTTTCCCTTCCCTTTTGAAGGGTTCGCATAACTTGCATGATTGTTCTCATTGGCAGATTTTCCTGGTCGAACCATGGGGATCAAACAAAACTGGACCCCAGGGTGGTTCATACAAGCCTCAAATTCTTTCTCCATGGGTTTGGTCCCGTCTGCAAGTCTCACCAGGCCACCTCGCGTTTTCTCTGCCAATCGCCGGAACAAGGCCTTGTCCGCTTCTTTCACCTGATGCAACGACACTGGCAAGGCATTGGGAGCTGGTTCTCTGCCTACAATCTCAAAAACACGTTCATGCCATTCCTCCATTTTGTTGTAGCCACAAATTGCTGCTAAATCGAAGGCTCTGGCGCGACGATTGAGGGCTTGACGGACTTTCATCTCTCCTGTGATGACTGCATCTGGTGTCTGATGCTTGGGCGCAACTTTCAATCCACCTTGGGAGTCGAAAGAGATCTTGAAGTCCTTCTGCGAATGAGTGATTTCGGCTGCGCGGCTAGTCAACTGCTCCCAAGGGATCCATTCAAGAGTTTGATCAACCCCCATCTGACAAATCATGTCGACCAGCTTGTGACTCGGCTCATTCTCTGGAGAAAAATGGAGACCATTAAGTCGGTTTTTCTGATCACTCAACCTTGCGTTTCTTTCAGCGACTGGCATCCTTGCTGGCTCTGAAGTGTCGTCACGTTCAGTGCGCTGCTTCATGTCGGACAAAGCTAATGTGCAACTCTCGAAAAACAAGCGTCTCAAAATGATCAACTCTGGGTTTGTTGGGTCCCTATTCAGCACCTTCTTTAAAGCCTCTATCAGTGGGGCCTCGTCGGACTGGCCCGGTCGATAGGGGGTGATGAAGGCCAATGATCCGAAAGATCTCACGCCATTTGCGACCAGTTCATTCACAACTGTCTCGGCCAACCCAATCTCCTTTGCTCTGGCCTTGAATGAGGCTTCAGATTCCAAGGTGGACGCCATCGAGCCGAGTCTATCAACAACGCTAGAGAGAAGTATGCCATTTCGATTGAATGCACAATACTTCCAAGTGTTTATGGTATATCTCATATGGTCTAAAAACCCTTTCTGTCCTAAGTTTTTGGACTTGGAAAGATTTCATTGGCGGTGGCTTCGCTCCATGTCTCCATAGATGGCCTTTTTCTGCTGTTGAGCCCCAAGTGCGTGATTTGGTGATGATTCCATCAAGCTTGCAAAGATGGTGATGTCTCTGCTGGATGGATGCACCAATGTTTGCACTCATGGGCAAAATTCCACTTGGTCTTGGGGCCCCCGGTTTGGAGCCGAACCGAGTGGAAATCTGCCAGCACTCATGTACTCAAAAAATGATGGAAACTCTGATTGTTTTGCTAGTCTTTTTGGCTTGTCATTTCCGCGCGATGCCTATTGCACTGCCACTGGTGGGGTGCGAACTGAATACGACGAGAGACGGTCGTAGATCCCTAATCTTATACACGTGGCAGCCAACGAAAGTTCGGCCCTATCGACCATTATCACTACACAAGTCAAAGCTAAACGCCTCTCACCGTAGACGTCCAAAAAGACGTGGATCTTCATCACGATGAAAAAGTCCCTCTAAATGGGATGCATCATGTCACGTCTTTGGCAAAACCTGTCGAGGCTACAAATCAGCATCCTGCGGCTCGTCCTGCAGCAGCAACCAAAAGAAGCAGGTTATCCACCCTGCTATGAAAACTGCAGCCAACTTGCACGCTCCCCGAAGTAAGCCTGGCGCCCTTTCCGTCAAGCGCGTCGCAGCAGCTTTGCCCCGCTCGACAGGTTTGGACATGTCGCGCCCAAGTCACGAGGGTCAGATTCCTCGTCTAAGGCTTGAGTGCTGATGGCGGTTCAGGTGCCGCTGGCTCCACTCATGTTTGCCTCCAGTGATTTTTCGGTCCAAGAGTGTCAAAAGTTTCAAACAAATTTCAACAAGCGTTTCACGACTGCCGTGTGTCAAGCATGAACCTGGGCTGCAGCATTTTTTCACATCCCACGTCGCATATGCTTAGTTTGGGACTTAGCCATATGTCGAACGACACTGCAAGCAAACTGGCAAATCGAAGTAGTTTGATCCCATTGGGATTTCATCGAAGTTTCTGGAGTTGACACGGCCGCACAAAAGCTTTTTGGCATCATCTTCTCTGGCAACATGCACCACACCTGAGAACGCATGGATCCTGAGCCTGCTGACGAACTCCAAAGGCAGATCATCCCATACCTGTCTGTTACCTTTTGGTATTGGCATGGGTTCAATTTCATCGGCACTTGCATCACTGTCGTCCTGATCCACATCATCTGACTCAGGCATTCCTACCACTGCGTCGAACAATCTTTCCGCTCTGTTTGCATCTGGCTTGAAGGACTTCTTCTTGACATCTTGGCACATGGTGTATACCACTGTCATTATTCTAGTCAATTCATCACGAGCATATGCAACTGCACTTTGGTTGTCACGTGTCATGTGGTGTCCCATCAAAAGACGATCTGGGACACTGAGGTAGTTGCCTTTTGCTGCCCACGAAAGCAAAGTGGCCTTGAGCGAATGGCAACCTATCAAGTCGACCTCCAATGCAGAAAAACCCGACGAAGTCAAAAACTCTTTCAGGTACAACGCAGCTTCTCCTGTGGTCATCCTACGAGGCAACCATTGCTGAGTCATTTCACTGAAAGCTGGCAAAGCTGGATCTAAGGTCAAACCGTGTTGCACTCTCAAGCCCATCCAGTCCTGGGCCCAGGGCAGTTTCGCGAAGAACCTGCCTAGGCTCAGGATAGGCAACAATTTGCGTCGGCGTTCCTCAGTTTGAGCTGTCTTGAAAGACTTCGACTCACCTTCAATGAGCTGCATGTCCTAGTGATTGCTAATCTTCAACGATGCCAAGTGAATTGAGTCCCCAAAACGGGAACTGCTGCCCAAGCACATCAGCAAATGTCCAGCAATGATTTTCCAATGGTCATATGGAGCAACTGTCACAACATTCTCAAGAGCTACAACCATTTTCACTGAAAGTGGTGCGGATTGACGTAATGGTTTCTTGAGTTCCAAGCACGACCTGGCGGCACCTCGAACTCTTGACGAGAGGAGCTCTTCCAACGAAAACGTCAACATACCTATACAGTGGTGCAAGAAAGTCAACGCCTGGATGAAAGAAGTTGCCGTGCTACGCCCTCCTCACCCTCCCAGCCAAACTGCGTGAGTAACACAATATGGCTGTGGACAAAATGGGCAAAGGTCTTTTGAGTTGTTTCAACCGGTTTTTGTTACCGACAAAGGTGTTCGGTCCGGTTTCCAAAGTACAGTTTTTTGGGAAAGTTTTTTTTCACCCCCGAGGCAATATGCTTTGCCTCTGTGAAACTTTAAAAGACTGCTTCATCCCCTTTGGGTATGTGCACCATCATCAGGTTCCACTCGGCTCCAGGCAAAACGGATTGAGACCCAGCAGATTGACTATCAATGCTCTGCGCTAATGACTCTTCCCTCAAGCTCTCGACTTCGGCGCCGCATTCGTCAGGCAGAGGTTCATGGCCATGAGAAAGGTGGTTTGGTTCAGATTGAATCAAATCAACGAAGCTGAAATCATCACTCTCAAGATTTAGAGGAATCAACTCAGGCAAAGAATCATGCTCGTCTCCAAGTTCATGAACTTCACTATGAATCTCACAACCCACCTCATCGTCTAACTCCATGGCACTAATCCCCCCTGCCGCTTTTGGGCAAACGAATCGGCGCGCCCACCCACCCACCACTTGAACCAGCGCAAAGCGAAAGCAAATGTGAAATCCGGGTGCTTCCACCCTAAAACTAGAGGTGACAACTCGATCCCCTACGGTGAGCTTCATTGTAAACAAGTCATCTGTTTGCAGAGAAGTCCCGGCTGGTCTCTCAACTTGCATTAGAACAGCGACTGCCTCACCGGGTGTCGCTGGCGTTGAATTCACTCACGATTTGGCCAACGACGGAAAGGCCGAGGCTGAAAAGCTGCCAGCAGCCCAGTGCTCCTGGAACACCTCGAGTTTCCACATTGACGTCGAGCTGGCCCAAATTGCAGGCGGGTGTCCGACCAACAGAAGGGGGCGGGCGAAAGGCACAGAGTGTCTGGCACCTTTTGCAAGATGCAACCAAGAAGCAAAGGAAACTCCAACAACGCACGATGGAATCTAAAAGGATTTGAAAGCAAGTGCTGACGCAACAATTTGATGGTTTGAAAAACTGATTGAATCAAGAAAACATCTGATCAGCCTGACAGCGGTCGTTTTCATCCTGCTGCCTGCTTCTTGCTTGCCTTCCACCATCTTGCAACTTTCACGGGTTCCACCTCCACCTGCCAATTTCAACTGGGTGACGGTTGAAAGCTTTTGTGTTTTCAAGCCCGTTGAAACTGAAACCATTAAGAAGGGATTTGCGTCGTTTTTTGAAACCGCAATCGCTTTCAAGGCTTGGTTGCATTTTTTGGAGAGCCTCGCAAAGTGGCACAAAGGTGTCTGGAAGTTTCGGAGCCATGCTCTCATCACGCTGGCCGAACCAGCCTCTGTCGAAGACAGTGCTCTCCCTCGTCAAGAGGAGCAACCAGCGGGCGCAGAGATGCCTCAGACGAAACCTACTTGGTCCCGGAAGGCAATGGACGCTTAGTCCACCACGCTCTCCTTAAAGGAGCGGCATGCACTTTTGCGGCTCGCAATGTCCAAAAGGAGCATGAAGCAACAGCCAAATGGCCAATTGCTGTTTGGACGCTACAATCAATCGACCGGTGGCACATTCTGTCCTCCACGAGGCACTGCACGGTCACTGATCGTGATGCGATCAAACGATATTTTACTCGGGGCTACCCACCGCGGCCCAACCAGCAGATCGACCTCATCAAATAATAGCCTACAAGAAATCGTTCCGTGAAGACATATGGGCAAGATTTGTACAATTTTTCACCCTGATCCGGCCTACTCAGACAAGACTGCAACCTAAAAAGTTGACCCTGACAGCCCAGCAAAAGCCTTGTCGCCTGCAGAACATGTGCAGTGAGGGCGGTGACCTCAATCATGTCCCTCCTGACGCAGGGAAACATTGCAGCGATCCTCACTGCACTGGTGGCGCGTCATGACAATTCCTACACCAAATGTGTCTGTGCCATCACGTTTTGTTCATCTGACACAGTCTCTCTGCCTGCCAATACAGATCAACCCCCTGTATTGCTGCCAGTGCATTGCAAACAGTGACTGTCCAAATGGCTGCTGCCTGCCGCTCCCACTGGCCCACAAACAGTCGCCACGTCCGCACGCAAAGAGGATTTCCGATGGCGACTGGCAACTCAAACCTGGCACTCCTGTCGAGGTTGAACACAGTGAAACCTGTCAGCTCACACACACTACGCTTGCTGGAAATGAAATACTCACGCCGATCAGCGTTGCAGAATATACTGTAGCCGATTTGACGAACTAGAAGACGACATTGTGGACTTTCTGTGGGAAGGAGGTGCGTCACTGCGAGAAGCAAGGACCGCTGTCCCTGCTCGAGATTTCATTGATTGCAGCCACGTCCATCTCAGTGACAGCCAATCTGATAAGCTATGATAGGCCGCACTGCTGGTCCGTGATGCTGGCGTCTGCGTCAGTCCGTGTCCGGGTTCAGAGACCCATGCTCTGGCGGGAGCTTGGGCGTCAGCCCAGACTGGTATCTCGATTCGGAAGCTTATTTTGGAGGTTGAGGGGAAAGACATCGATTGTCCTAGAGTAGCATCAGTTCAAAGCACGGTGGGCGAAGGTGCGTCTGCCAATCCCCAGTGCATGCATTGAGCAAATTTGACAACCACGTCGCACGATTCGACGAACAGCATCCCTGACGAGCGACGGAGATGAAGTTTCTTGAGCCGTAAGGACAAAACTTTCAGATGCCGAAGCTGCCCATTGGCACATTCCACATTTGTGAAAACACGGAAGCGATAGCGTCCCCTTTTTGAATCCCGCTCTTGAGC